GGCCCCCCACGCAGCCTTCGAAAGTGGCGACAGTTTCACAGATCGCAGCCCCCCAGGGATGGCGAGGTCTAATCTGAATCCCCGTAGGGCGTCACTCCGCTGGGCCCCCCAGCAGCCCTCGAAAGTGGCGACAGTTTCACAGATCGCAGCCCCCCAGGAATGGCGAGGTCTAATCTGAATCCCCGTAGGGCGTCACTCCGCTGGGCCCCCCAGCAGCCCTCGAAAGTGGCGACAGTTTCACAGATCGCAGCCCCCCAGGGATGGCGAGGTCTAATCTGAGTCCCCGTAGGGCGTCACTCCGCTGGGCCCCCCAGCATCCCTCGAAAGTGGCGACAGTTTCACAGATCGCAGCCCCCCAGGGATGGCGAGGTCTAATCTGAATCCCCGTAGGGCGTCACTCCGCTGGGCCCCCCAGCAGCCTCGAAAGTGGCGACAGTTTCACAGATCGCAGCCCCCCAGGGATGGCGAGGGCTAATCTATGGGCCCCCCAGCAGCCTCGAAAGTGGCGACAGTTTCACAGATCGCAGCCCCCCAGGGATGGCGAGGTCTAATCTGAATCCCCCCACTCCGCTGGGCCCCCCAGCAGCCTCGAAAGTGGCGACAGTTTCACAGATCGCAGCCCCCCAGGGATGGCGAGGTCTAATCTGAATCCCCGTAGGGCGTCACTCCGTTGGGCCCCCCAGTAGCCTTCGAAAGTGGCGACAGTTTCACAGATCGCAGCCCCCCAGGGATGGCGAGGTCTAATCTGAATCCCCGTAGGGCGTCACTCCGCTGGGCCCCCCAGCAGCCCTCGAAAGTGACGACAGTCTCGCAGATCGCCGCCCAGGAGGCGGGAGGAGGCGGGAAGGAAGGAAGGAAGGAAGGTGGAGACCGCAGTGCTCTATTCAAAACGAGTACCCAAAGCAGGAGGGTTGGGAAGAAGAGAAGAGGAGGAGCGAAGAGAGGGGCGGGAAGGAAGGTGGAGACCACAGTGCTCTATTCAAAACGAGTACCCAACGCAGGAGGGTTGGGAAAAAGAAAAAGAAAAAGGAGGGGCGAGGAAAAAGGAGGAGGGGAAGGAGGCGGAGGAGGAGGAGGAGCAGGAGGAGGAGGAGGAGGAGGAGGAGAGGGAGGAGAGGGAGGAGAGGGAGGAGAGGGAGGACGTGGATGGGGAAGGAGAAGGGAGGAGGGAGAGGGATGGGGGAGGGCGCTAAGGGAGAGGGAGGAAAGAGGGGAGGAGGAGGAGGAGGAGGAGGAGGAGGAGGAGGAGGAGGAGGAGGAGGAGGAGGACGACGAGGAGGAGGAGGAGGAGGAGGAGAGGGGAGTAAGAAGAGGAGAGTGGGGATGAAAAGGAGGAGGAAGAGGAGAAAATCCGAGAAAGGCATAGAGGAGAGGGAAGTGGCCCCCATTGGCGAAGGAGAAGGAGAAAGGGGAAAAAGCAAAAACAGGATGGGGGAGGGTAATCGAGGGGAGGAAGAGAAGGAGGAAGACCAGTGTAACCCCAAGAATCATCAACGATGCTGAAATACACCCTCCCTCCAAGATCCCTCTTCATGGCCCCCTACAAAATCTCACTCCCCGTTGACAATGCGAACATCTTGAAGCGTGCCAAGAACACCGTTCTCGGAACGTCAACGCCACGAGTTAACCTCACTGTTACGCGCTGGCGATCCTGAATCGTGGCAGAACACCAATCCTAGTACTTCAACACCGCGAATGAACGTAACTCTCGCGCCCTGACATCCCTGAACCGCTCCAAAGAAACATTTCTTGTACGTGAACCATGAGAACCACTGAAACGATTGCAATGTTTGAAAAAGAATGTGCGCGGTGCTAAGCGAGAGCCAAATGTTGAAAACGAACCGCCCTCAATCCATGAAACTCCTTGCAAATTGTGAAACATCAGCGCGGCGCTGAAACGAGAGCCACATCTTGAAAAAGAACCGCCCTCAAGTCGCGAAATTGCTGCAACTTGTGACAACGAATGTGCGCGCTGCTCAGGCGAGAACCACATTTTGAAAACGAGCCGCCCTCAATCAGTGAAACTCTTGCTAAATGTGGCAAAGAGTGCGCGCGGCGCTGAGGCGAGAGCCACATTTTGAAAACCACCCGTCCTCACTCCGCGAAACTCCTTGCACACTATGAAAACGAACGCGCGCGGCACCAAGGCGAGAACCACATTTTGAAAACCACCCGCCCTCAGTCGGTCAAACTGTTGCAAATTATGAAAACGAGTGTGCGCAGCACCACGGCGAGAGCCACATTTTGAAAACCACCCGCCCTCAATCCGTCAACCTCTTCGGCCCGCCCTTTCGACGGGCCTCGTGGTGCGACATGGGGAAGTTATATATAAGGAAAAGGCATGGAGGAGGAGGGGGAGGAGGGGAAGGAGGACGAGGAGGAGGAGGAGGAGGAGGGGGAGGGGGAGGAGGACAAGCTAGGTGCGCTCGCGTCATATCTGACGTCCTACCCCTCCCTCCCATCCCTTACCATGGCGCTGATTTTCTCTATCCCCGGACGCGTGTCGTAGCGGACCTGTGGTTCCGCGCGCACGTGCGTAGTGGGTGGTGGTGCGCGTGCGTGCGTGCGTGTGTGCGTGGTTGTGGTGGTGGTGGTGGTGGTGGTGGTGGTGGTGGTGGTGGTGGTGCTGCTGCTGCTGCTGCTGGTGGTGGTGGTGGTGCTGGTGATGGTGGTGGTGGTGGTGGTGGTGGTGGTGGTGGTGGTGGTGGTGGTGGTGGTGGTGGTGGTGGTGGTGGTGGTGGTGGTGGTGGTGGTGGTGGTGGTGGTGGTGGTGGGTGGTGGTGGTGGTGGTGGTGGTGGTGGTGGTGGTGGTGGTGGTGGTGGTGGTGGTGGTGCGGCGCGGTGGTGGCGGGCGGATGGGCGCGCGAGAAAAAGGCCCGCGCTGGGGCGAGAACGCCATCCTGAACGACGGAGGCCAAACACCGATCCGAAAATGAGGCCCACGCTGCAGCGGGAGCACGATTCGGAACGATTCGGGAGCAGAAATGAGGCCGGCGCCTCAGCGAGAGCAGCATTTTGAAAAAAACGCAGGCGAAAACCCGTTTCCCGGGAATCCGGTGTGTCAAAAAACAGTACGCGGGGGGGGTCGGCCATCTTCGGGACGCCATCAGGGGAAGTGGGAGAGTATTTTCATATTGTGTAATTGTGGAGGACGAGGAGGAGGAGGAGGAGGAGGAGGAGCAGGAGGGAGGAGGAGGTGGAAGGAAAGGAGGAGGGGCAGGAGGAGAAGGGGGGAAGGGGAGGAGGAGGAGGAGGAGGATCGATCGATTGAGCTCTCGGGCCTGTCTGCGGTTACTGGACTACGACTAGCACAGTGAGTCTTCAAAAACTGTAGTGCGGCCTAGCTGCGGTCACTTTCTGGAAAGGGGGACGCTGGCGCCACGGGGCGCTCAGGCCCCACCTGCGCCGACCTCCCCACGCAGCGGTCCGCGGGCAGGGTAGCACCCGCGTTTACGGATGCCCTCTCGCGTTCTCCTCTCTACCCCTTCCCTTCCCCCCATCGACCCTTGCCTTTTCGTTTGGGTTCGGGGGGGGTCAATACATAGTACTCAGGGAAGCGTGGCCCATGGAGTTGGAAGAGGGGAGGAGCCTCGGTGGGCGGCGGAGGAGGAAGCCTATCTTCCCTGAGTAACTGTCCGAATCGCTCGCTGGCTCGAAATGCCTGAGGCACTGCGATGGGGGCAGCGTCAGCTGAGCGCAGCTGCACTGAATGCTCGCGGTCGCTCTCATGGCCTTCGGCCTCACCCTCACTGTGGCCCTTCCCTGGCCCTTACGTTCTGGTCTCCTGCTGCAGGGCGTCCGCTGATTTCGCACAAAACTGATACGTGTCCCGCGGGCCACTAACTGATGCTATACCAGCTGGCGCCGCACAAAACTTATACGTGTCCAGTCGGTCACCGTTGGGAGCTACACCTGCTGGTGTCGCACAAAACTGATCGGTGTCCAGTCGGCCATTCTCTGTCGTATCGATCACGCCCCGTTGATGAGTCTCCCGAACTCCCTCTCGATGGCCCCACACGGCGCTGCTCCCACCTTCGTGATCGCCCCTTCCTTTTTGAACTGCTTGACTACCACTGCCTCCAGCTGATGGTACGTGTGATGCATCTGGAACTGGAACCTGCACTTCTCCTGCGCCCCATTGCCGCCCTCCTTCCCCTTGTTGCGCCTGACGCGGAACACGGGCACTGACGATGATAAGAACTCCGCGTTACTTCTCGGGCAGGTCTCGCTCCTGCCTCGTGCACGCGGCCCAGGTAGATTAGCACCTCTGTCCAGATCTTCACGCGCGGGCTGCCCAGCGATGCGGTGTCAACGTTCTCCCCGCTGGTTGCCCTTCTGCGCAAGTCCTGGGCCGCGTCGTTGTAGTCCTTGCCTGCTGTCAACCCGACATTGGACACCTCGGCGATGGCGTCGATCTCCAACGTCTGGATCACCGCGGAGGCGAGTGCTGCTCGTTCGCATGCCAGTGTGAGGGCCAGCCTGGCTGTGAGATCCACCACCACCGCGTTGGCTGGCTGCCCTCCTCCTGCCGCTCCCGCTGCGCCTCCTCCCGCTTGCGGCCTCCTCGGCTGCCGGCTGCGATCTGGTCGCGGTGGGCCTCCTGGCACTGGTGCGGCTGGCGCCCACTGCGGGCGCTGATCGAATAGTGCCATCTCTGTCGCGCGCGGTCGGAGTGAGTAACTGTCTCGGGAGGTGCGTCCTCAAGTGCTGAAAATAGGTCCCCGGATCCGAAGCTAAATGGCTGCAGAGAGGGCAGGTCGTTCCAGGAGTTGTCGCTTCTGTCAGGGTTGCAGCTTCCACTCAGCATGCTCCTGGCCAGGTGTTTCCAGGCGGGGAGGAGGAGGAGGAGGAGGAGGAGGAGGAGGAGGAGGAGGAGGAGGAGGAGGAGGAGGAGGAGGAGGAGGCCAGCATGCCAAGCCAAGGAGGAGGAGAAGGCGAAACGCGCAAGGGGAAGGGAACAGAGGCGGGCAGGAGCAGGGCCGACAACGGAGGCCCCCCGCCTTCAGGCCGAGGCTCGCGGGCCGGGGTGCCCCGGAGGCGTCGCCGGGCGCGAAGTAGCCGGAGTGCCCAGAGCACGGTGGGGTCCCGCACCTCTGCAGGGGGGCCAAGGACCCCGCCAGGGAGAGCAAAAACTGCATCCACGGAACATTTGTCGCAGGTCTGCGCGGACGTCTTGGATGGATCAGCACTGGACCCACCTACCGGGGGGCCCTCTGGCGTCGCCCCTGGCGAGCTTCGCGCGCCAGCGAGGGGAGTCTAGCGCAGACCCAAGAGATCCACGCAGATCCGAGAATCCAAGAGAGTTATTCCGATGTGGGCATTGGATAAAGAACCCTTGGATAAAGAATCCAGGGTCCGGAAGCCACTGGAACTCCAATCGTGGATCGGCCATGAGTGTCACCGCCGCCCTCATTGAATAAAGGAATCCTCCAGGGTCTGGCGCCTTCTGGGGCTATTTCTCAACAAACGCCTCCACCGTAGTATATCGATTTGCTCTCCTCCGTCAGAAGTAAGACTCGGGCCTGAGGGACTCGAGTTGGCCCAGCGGGGCCGCCGCGAAGCAGCGGAACCCAGGCTGAAAGTGGACGCGGGCTCCCGCTGCAGGCGCCTCACGAGAACTGGACCGCCCAAGCGGCACCGTACCGGGTACTCACTAACGGGTTCTTTGAAGATTTGCCGAAGGTCGCCAGTCTTGGGCCTCCTTCTGGCATCGCAGCGTTGCCCACATCGTGAAGGGTTGCGTTCGCCGGGCCACTTGCCACAGTGCCCGTGAGGGGAGTCCCCGCTAGAGGGGCGGCTAAGCGAGGTGCTGGCGAACTCGAGCACGACGGGGATCCGCGCCGCTGCAGTGGGCAAAGAAACACCCCATATCAGAAGCATCCCATACGAGCGAATCCCTTTCGTGAACGCGCCTGGGGAAGGAATCGAAGACGGCAGGACAGCGTAGCACGCGCCCCGGACTTTTGAGTGAACGCCGGTGAAGGGGGCAGAGGGTCCTTTCTCATCCCTCGTCTCTGGGGGACTCGAGCTGGAGCAGGCGGGGCCGTGGCAAAAATGGCGGAACCATGTATGCAATTTGACGCGAGCTCCCGCAGCAGACACCTCACGAGAGAACTCGACCCTCTAAATCCAAGCCCAGGCAGTGAAAAAAGCGGCAGACCCGAGTTGCTGCAAAACTCGAGTCTTACGTTTCCCCGACTCTGGGCTCGAAGACACCAACGTCGGCGTCGTCAACCTCCTTGTCGGCGTTGTCCGTTGTCATCGTCGTCATCGTCGTCGGTTGTGGCCTCGGCGTCGTCGTCGACCCCAGGCCTCCGAAGGATGGCTCTCTGGGCACCGATCCAGGTGGGCGGCACAAACACACACACAAGCACACACACACAAACACAAACACACACACACAAGGGCCTGGCGCGAGGGGGGGCCGCTCTCTGAGAAGCCGGGGGCTTCTAAAAAGGCCGAGGGGCTCCTCTAGAAGAGAGAGAGAGAGAGAAAGAGAGAGAAAAAAAAAAAAAAAAAAAAAAAAAAAAAAAAAAAAAAAAAAAAAAAAACTGCATAACATAAACTTTTGGCGCTCCGCGCCAATCTCTTGGAACTACCTGGCGCGCGAAAACGCGCCAGGGGACGCACCGGAAGCGCCGCCGGGGGGGGGGGGGCCCAGCGCGGATCCAATAAATCCGCGCGGAGCGCCAAAAAGTTATGTTTATGCCGTTTTCTCTTCTTCGACTCTCAGAAGCCATCCCACCTTCTCAAGATTGGCGGCGAGCGAGGGGGGAAGCGAGAAGGACAGGGCCTCCTCAGAAGGCGGCGGGACTCCGCAGAAGCCCTCGCGCCTTCTGAGAAGCTTTCTCTGTCTTCGGGGAAGGCTTGAAAGACTTCTCGGAAGGCCGGGGAACTTCCTCCTCCTCCTCCTCCTCCTCCTCCTCCTCCTCCTCCTCCTCCCCCTCCTCCTCCTCCTCCGAGCCCTCCGAGAAGGCCTTCTCCCTCTCGCTTCGCCCCCTCGACCGCGCCGCCGACTCGCAGGAGCCACCCGCCCCTCGCGCCACCCCACGGCGCACGCCGCCCACCAGCCCCAGACCTCCGAAGGACTGATTTGTTCGATTTGGGCGGGCTTTCCCTTGGACTCCTCCTCCTCCTCCTCCTCCTCCTCCTCCTCCTCCTCCTCCTCCTCCTCCTCCTCCTCCTCCTCCTCCTCCTCCTCCTCCTCCTCGATTTGGGCGGGTTTTCCCTTGGACCTCTGCCCTTGGGCGCCGCTTCCGGCTGCACGCAGGAATGACCCTGGGCAAGAGTGCGCGGCTTGCCGACCGTTGCAGGCGATGCGGCAGTGCGAGGGGTCACTCTGACGTTCAACCGAGGTTTCGGGCCCCTAGGCCATGAGAGATAAATCTGGAACGAGAAGCTGCCCCCGGGGGAAGGGGTCGGGAACTCTGGGGGGCGGCGGGTCAGTAAACAAGCACGACGCTGGGTGCCTGGCATCGCGGCCCTCTCTTGGGGGCGTCCCTTCGGGCGCTTCGGGCGGGCCCTTGCGGGCCACCGGAGGCCCGGGAGGCCCCCAGAGACCACCAGAGGGCTCTGGGCACATCCAGAGACCTCCGGAAACCTGCGGGGGGGAGCCCTGACCTCCGGCGTCAGGATCTGTTCACGACGTGGACCCCCCGAGCTCTGGACAGTCTTGATGGTCCCGGGGCCCAGCGAGGGCCCCCTGGGGCCACAAACCGCCGAAAGCTGCGAGGAGGTCTGAGGAGGAGGACGACAACAACCATGCAGCAGCTCTGGCCCTGGCAGGACCAGAATCGGTACCGTGGAAAGGTCGGCGCCGTCAGATCGGCGACCCCTCGGACCTCCAACTCCCCCGACCTCCGAGGAAGACAGGCTGTCTCTGGCGTGGCCTCCCCCCGCCAAATGTGGGAAAAAAGGTGGGCGGCTCTGGGCCGGCATCTTCCAGCGAAGGCCTAGCAGAACGACCAACGGCCGAGGGGGGGACTGCAAGTGCTCGGCCTCCAGGGGGTCGCCTTCGGGCCCAGGAGCATGAAAAATGCTCTCGGAGGACTGCCCCAGGGGAGGGAGGTGGAAGCCCTGGGGCTGCGGACCGAAACAGCATCCGAGAAAGAAGGCATCGTCGGATGTCGGGGTCCCGAGCCGCCGCGCGAAAGGCGACTGCCGCGCGAAAGGCGATGGCAGGCGAAGGGTGAGGGGCCGCGAGCAGCATCTTCGACCACTTGCGAGCCCTACCCCTTGGGGTCCCATCGACGCTGGCATACCGGACCCCCCGCTGGGGTTCGCTTGGCTGCACACTGTCCTTGAAGTGCGGAACACCAGCCAGCGTGTGAGGAGACGGACCTTGAGGGGCAGGACTCACGTGTGGCTCTGCCTAAAAATGGGGCCAGGGCGTGGCAAGGCTTGGGGCTGCGCTCATACAGCCCCCCTAATATTCCCTCCCGGCCCCAGAATGCCCCCCGAACGCTCCGGGATGGCATGTGCCCTGGGGGCGCCGCCAGAAGCGGCGCTGGGATGCAGAGGCCAGCCAAGACTTCTCGCGGCGAAGGGGCTCGGGGGCTCGGACGCCGAATGGGCTCCAGAGGGGCCGCCCTGGGATGGGGAACTCGGCACCACCCGGCCTTCGCAGATCGATTCTGGGCCTGAGGACGCCTGGCGGGGCTGGTGGTGAACACCCTACCTCTCCCAGTGAGGGGCAACCCTGCGAAGAAGGCAACGGAGGGAGGGAGGGAGGGAGGGAGGGAGGGAGGGAGGGAGGGAGGGAAGGAGGGAGGGAGGCGGAAGACAGGAAGGGAGAAGAGGAGGGGCACCTTTGCGAGAAGGCCAGAAGCCTCTCAGAAGGGAACGACCTTCTGAGAAGCTGTGCCCCGAAGACGCCCTTGCAGTGGTGAGCTTGCCCCGTGCCCCTGGCAGGGCATTTCTTGCACGTGGCGGGGCGCCCGCGCATCCAGGAAGGGCTTCGGCGGGTTCACCGGCGCGCCCTGCGGGACGTTTGTTTTCCCTCTCCTGCTTCGCCATCCTCCTTCGACTATTTTTCCTGTCCCCTCCACCCCAGTAACTTCATTCCCTCCTCACACCCAACGTCCTCATCATCATCATCATCATCATCATCATCATCATCATCATCATCATCATCATCATCATCATCATCAGCATCAGCATCAGCATCAGCATCAGCATCATCATCATCATCATCATCATCATCATCATCATCATCATCATCATCATCATCATCATCATCATCATCATCATCATCATCATCATCATCATCATCATCATCATCATCATCATCATCATCATCATCATCATCATCATCATCATCATCATCATCATCATCATCATCATCATCATCATCATCATCATCATCATCATCATCATCATCATCATCATCATCATCATCATCGTGCGCCTCCTGCTTCTCCTCCTCCCCACCCCTCTCCGACGGCCTGCCCAGGCCCCCCGCTGATCCATCGCACGCGTCGGTAGGGCAATCCAGGCGCTTCCCCTGAGACGCTTCACAACTTGTGACCCCGCAGCTCAAACTTCGCGACAGCTACACACATTGACAGCGGCTCGCTTCCAAAATGTGGCCGTCGCGCTTGTGTGCCCAGGATAAGCGACCTCTTGGCTGCTCAGCTGCGCATGCCACCCCCGCTGGCCACGATGCCTCCACACCTCGCGCACGGTGGGCTGCGCCACGTCCGCCACAAGCGAGGCAACGCACAAGTGCGACGCGTCGCTGCACACGACCATGGAGGCGACCTTGGCCTTGAGGTTCGTGACCAGCGTCGGCGCCAGCATGGCCAGTAGCATCAGCCCCTGCCTCGCGTAGCTCGAAGATGTCGTCGTCGCGCGGCACCCCGGCAGCGCGCGGAACACCGCGCCCAGCAAGCACATCGCCGGGCGTCGGAAGCCACGCGCGCGCTCCCAGCTGGTCACGGTCCTCCTGAGCAACGCCATGGCGGAGATGCCGCGCGCAGCGACGCCAGAGGACAGGAGAGCCAGGCCGACCCGTCGCAGCCGCTCAGCGCCCAGATGCCCCGAAGCCTGCAGCTCGGCACCCAGCGCAAAGCCCGACGTCGCGCCTGTCACGCGCTCGTCGCCCGCCGCGCCCAGGCCAACGCAAGCGCACTGCTCGCGCGCCGCCTCGAAATACCGCCCCAGCGCCTGCGGGGAGCGACGCTGCCCGCGGCACGTTGCCCGAGACC